AGTAGGCTAAATCGTGGGGAAGAAGAAAAAATGGCCCATGTTAGCAAAATTCTGCTGGACGCGGGGAAGATAGCGGAAAGGGGCAAGAAAGAACAGCATACCGGCCTTCTTCTCCTGGAGAGTCATCTGGTGCCAGTCGACCTTCATGCGGTCCCTCAGCTGCATCCACAGCTCGGCCTGCTCCTGAGGGGGCATGGCCTCCCAGCGCTTCTCAATACCGGCGAGTGTGGGATTCGAGATGGCATGCTCGGAGGCGGCGCGGGTCTGCTGGGGAGCGATAGACTTCTTCTCAGTCTGAGGACGAGCGTTCAGGCAAGCCATTGGGCCCGAAACGGTGCGGTAGGAGCGCAGGCCCGTGGTGGGCACAGCCGAGCTGCGAGCAGCAGCGCGAGTAACGGAACGAAGGAACATTGTGTGCTAAGGGTGTGCGCGCGTATTAGAGTCAATTGATCGCCAAAAAGCAACTCTCCAGCAGCGAGAGGGCCGATTCGTCGGGATTGAGGATGGGAAATACCTGGGGTAGAGTGGAGGGGGGTACCAAGAGTCGCGATGGGAGACGAAGACGACGTTCGACTTGTGGTTTGAGGTGGAAGTCGAGTATCCGGACAGGCTAGCTTAGTCCGTTTTACCGCCGCCCTCATTGGTCCACGCCCGCTGCCCGTCCCGACCGTCCGCCATGGCTTTTGCCCCCAAGAAACATCTTACGATGATGTTTCCAATTCCCGTCAGCACCACAGTTCCCCTAGTATTCTTGTAGGGTATACTACTATACATTAAGGCTGATCCGTCCAAGCCTTCTACAGTGTCCCTTCCGATTCATTCTCGGAGCCTTATCTTCCCGACGTTTACTCACCATCTACAAACCGCCCTTTCTCACCACCCAAGTGCTACCTCCTACTCACTACTCATACTACCTAGCCTGTGTCCCTTCTCAGCACTCATCGGTCGAAAACGAGTACTTCACACGGGTTTCAGACCTAAGCACTCGACTCAATGCACAGTTTTGGGGTTTTGTTGTGTGCAGGGTGACCTGATGTTTCTACTCTACATCGAATCGCGTATTCACACACACCATGGCACGTAACAGTATTCTGTACAGACAAACGCTGATAAAGAGAAAGAAAAGCCCCTCCCCGATATTCGTTCATCATGGAAAAAAAGGAAAGTGCCACGATCGCAAGATGATACGGTCACTATCAAAAGAAATCAAGTCGTAACGATCTCTCATTTAACTAAGTTTGTGCAGAGAAACTGAAGGATTTGGTCGTTCCGAGGTACTCCGCATAGTGAGTCAGTGTGATTTGTTGCAATTTGCAACATCCTAGTCACCTGGCCCGGGCCCAGCCGGCGCCATTGTTTATTTGCCAGCCTTACCACCGCTGGCCTCGGCCAGGACGGTCTTCCACTCGATGTCGGACTTGTCGTCGGCGTGGATGGAGGTGTGGATGTTGAGGGCGTTCTTCAGGTTCTCGCGAGTGCTGGCGTAGATCATGGACCACTGTTTCATCGGTGTCAGCAATGATTTGGGGGCTTGAACAACTGAGACGGTGCGGAACGTACGAGGGTAGCGGTGTCGCTGGGAACCCAGGAAATGAAGATGATCTTGCTCCTGTGGTGAGAAGAAAGTGAGCAGATATGCTAAAGTAAACGTTCGGCTATCGTCATCATCATCATACCTCTTGCCTTCACCACCGCCCAGGTCGTACTCGACGTCGTAAACTGCATAACGGGGAGCGGGGTTGCCCTTAGCATCCTTAGCGGCCGCGAGCTTTTCGCGGAAGACCTCGTAGTCCTCGTCCTGGGAAACCTCGTCGATGACAACCTCCTTCTTGTTGTCGGCGATCTTAAAGATGATGAACTTCGTCTTGCTTCCCCTGCTGTTGCCGCTCATGCGGAACTCGTTGAATGCGGTGATGCACTCATCGGTGATGGAAACACTGTCCTCCGTAACTTAGTCAGCCTTATTCGGTTGTCATCGTCGAGTTCCCGATATTGTAGGGATGGTCGAAGACACATGCGGAGATCAGAAGCAGTCAGGAACATACCCAGACGCGAGCTACAAGGCAGGGAAATAAACGGTTAGCCCTGAGAGGGGAACACACGGGCGAGTATTACTCACAGACATGGTTATTTGTGTAGATAAAGGGGAGAGATGGTAAAGAGGTAAGACAAGTTGACAGACGGATAACCTGCGCATGCACGCGATGTTAGTTGGCCGGATTCCCCCTTATTTGTCCTTTGTCATAATCGCAAGATGGTTGGCGAAAAAAAGAACGGCGAACGAAAAGGGAAATGTGGTATACGCACCAAGCACCGTTAGACTGGTCAAATGGCTTTCACGGGGTAGTCTGCGTAAGAGCAACGGAGACAGGATGAGGGGATGTAAGAGAGGAATATAACGGGGGAGGATGGATGGGAACCGAGCTGGAGATAGAGGGGCATTTAGTTGTGCTTTGCTGGGTTGCTGCTGCTGCGGCGGGCGGCGGCGGTGGGGGGGGGCCTAGCACGTGACCCACCCGTCGCACCACCGGCCGCTTATTTCCCCTTCCCACCCATCTTTTCCCCCTGAATCCTGAGGATGACGAAATAAGCCTGGACTTTTACTGTGAGGTAAATGAGGTAAAGTATGTACTGTTGACTAGGTGTGGCCAACCCATAGGCCCAACTCGTTGGTAATGCACCTGCCTGCACCCTGATGCATGTCAGGCGATTATTCACTGGCGATGACGATGTGTTTGGGCCAGAGCCTACGGAGTACATGTGGCATAGATGGATGACCCAGGCATCTACGATCCATACCTCGGCGGTCGCTCAAAGTGTGGGGGCTTTGCTATCTTGGGAGAGATCTATTTAGGTGTAAATTTTATGTCGACCAGCTAGCTAGCTAGCTAGCATTTTGTAGACGCCTGTCTGCCTTTGTCAGTCAACTACTGTTGGCTTTTCTATTCTTGGTACCTCCAGGCAGACGAATCTTGTTTTGCACCGGAATAATCCGCCGTTGATAGATTACCAACCATGGAACTAGCCCCGGCTAGCCGAGCAGTATCACGTCAGGGCATGAAAACTGCGCAGTACCTAGATTTATGCCTAGAGACATAGGCAATGCACGGGTACTGTCTGTCATCATCACGAATATCATGGTGCCTGGTTGCCCAAGTCTGATGCAAGTATATGCGGCCTGTGATCTAGCTCCAATTAGGGATTGAACGCATCCATATGCTTTGACTATGGTCATCTTACTCCGTTATCAAGCCTATACAGAATGTAATTTAACAGCTGCATTACAAAGTCATCTTCAATCATTCAGAACATCTATGGAAAAACGGTATCAAAATAATCTATACTTCCAGACCGTAAAGCTTACCATCGTTCACCCTGCACGATGGCGAATAGGTAGTGACATAAAAGAACCCCGCTACCGCACCAGTAATCGACATCATATCGTCCACGAGACGCGTGCACATGGTGGGATCAGCGGCATAGAAGAGATAAGATGTATGTAAAAACGAAGGGAAGCAAAGAAAAAAAATAAAATCATACATGAAGTAGCAACAACCTGTTGCTGTAGAATGGGGTATATAGAAGCTCACAGAATTCAACAGAGAATAAGCGCAAATGACAAGGGTATGAAATCGTCTCAGGATATCGTCCATGTCACAAGAATTTGAGGCAGGGCTGGTTGCAAAAGACAAACTAGGTGAGAGGCTGATGGTTATACTCATCAATCGCACGAAAGGAAACAATATCGAAGAAAAAGATCATCACTGGGGCATAAATTTGGCGTTAATGGTACCATGTGTTGGATAGACGGATGGGCAAGTAGCTGCTGCCAATAACCCTCAGTCGTCTTCAGCTTGTCCACCATCGATGATCTTCCTCCAATGTTGTGGGAGGCATACACAGACCAGAGGGAATGCCTTGATATCCCCGACGGGAGCGGGAGATGTAGCTGCCCGCCGTGAGCCATTCGATACGCCACTATCTCGCTGCTCGCGGTGTCGAGCATCGTGATCCTCTGCTGTTTCGGGAATTCGAATACCAGTAGCCCACCCATCGTCCCAGATGCCAATCACTTTTAGCATTTCACCGCGATCCAGCGCAAATTCATCACCTGCCCGAGGCTGGTATGCCCAGAGTACGGCAACCTTGTCGCCCGGATGAATGTCATCCTGCGAGTAGTAGTCTTGGAAGGCGGACAGCTGCTCCGACTGGCCGCTGGTCAGTCCATCTGGTGACGAATACTGGCCACCAGTTCCTGACCGAGGGGAGGAATCAGTGCCCGCACCAGCTAAGGCTGAGTTACTGGAAAGCGAGCCATGCCGTTTTCCGGTTGTGGGGGGAATCTTTTTCGACATTGCCCCAGGGCTGGCACCGTGATCGGAATCTGAGGTGTCGCTGTACTTTGCGCCACCGAACAAAGCAGAGTACCGAGATCGGGCTGGAGATGAGCTGGGAACTTCGCGCAATGCAGACATCCTGGCAACTCTTCCGCCGGGTATGGCAGCAAACTCGTGCGGGCTTTGGTCCTGCTGCATTGACGGTGACCCCTTCCTCTGGGGATTGGGCTGATTCAGTGAGCTATCATTCTCCGCCCGGCGCCTGCGCCGCCAATAGATCAATGCTAGCACGGCTAATGCGGCGAGAAGAGCAAACCCGGCTACAGAACCTATAACAATCCCTGCTATCTGACCTCCCGATAAGTCATTGGAGCCTGCTGTTGAGTTGGATGCAGCTGTGGAGGTGAATATCGGCGGTAGTGTCGAAGACGGAACTGTGACATTCGAACACCGAGTAGCAGCATTCGAGTCTGTACAGCACGAATCGGTGGAATTTGACGAGCCCGAGGCGCAATACGAACACAGTCCCAAGACATTCGAACGGAATCCGCAATTTTTCGGTTCATTTTCAGCTCCCGTGATGCAAGTTACCGTAAGCGAATCGGCTGGTAGGGCGCAAATCGTAAAGTCAGACCGAATTTGAGACATGTAGTCGCTTGCCTTTCCGGAGCAGAGATTGGTGTCCGTGACTATCGCCTCTTCACTTATCGCCATTGATGCCTAATAGAAGTTAGTGGGGATGTCCAAACAACAAATGATTAGAAGGGGGTTGACAAACGCAGGTATCAGCGCAAAGCGGTCTTGATTCTTCATCGGATAGGTTGCAATCACTCTTTGAACTTTGTACCAGGCTGCTACATAATACACTTGTCGTATAGCGGGCGTAATAATCGTCTGTATCAGTCAAGTTTACCCCCTGACAGCCCAAGTATTCCTCATACCTAGTAAAAGGTATTTTGGTCAGTCATTTCCCCTGCCATTGCGAAATGGAATACTTACTTTTCCCTCACATATCCCTGCATGACATAGCTGCTCAACTCATTGTCGAACTGCGTGAGGTTCGACACATATTGCATGAATGGACTCGGAGGCAGTTAGCGCAATGGACGTTCCATCTTGGACGCTGGGACATACAAATCGGTGTAGAGACTGGAATTCGTCGAGACAGAGGAACTGTCAAAAGCAGGGCATTGTGTCGAGCCCGACAATGAGATGCAAGTGCCGGACATGGTTGGATCGACACTGGCGGCTGCCAGGTGCTTCTGAATGCGAAAATTGATATCGTAGGGCAGAACAATGACGAGCAGATCACAATTCGGATATGGACATTCAGCAGGAGAGTGATTTAGTCGTTTCCATGCTCATTCCCTTCTTTCGCGATTACTTTTTTGGGTGTTGAATGAACGATCGGATGTGCGCAACGATGGTCTTTAACCCGAGTGGGTTCAATTGTCGACGCGTCCAAAATCAGTGGGACAAATAGATTTTTAGAGAAAGCGAGAAAGAATATTCGGGTAGAGCGCAAGGGACTCTGCCGATGCGATTAGAACCTGAGGATGAACGAGTGACTTGGTTGGGTTTATAGCGAGTAATGTCGGGAAGCACCTCAACGGCGAAGGCAAAGGACAAGGAGGAAAGCCCAAGATAATCGAAGAGTCACGGGAGGAGAAATGAAAAGAGGCGTCGATCCACGGCAGAAAAGGCAGGCGCTAGACAAGGAACCTGGAGGAAGGCCGTGCTTTCCCAGTCTGGGCTGGATGTGATTGCCGCTTGGGTTCGAGGCCCCCCGAAAGGAAGAGACCCAGGAAAGCAAAGCACCGGCAGAACGGCGCGATTGGACTCGATGGAAGTCGGCTCCTTCACGGAACAATCTTGAATAACGGAAGAAGCGCAAGAAACAAAAAAAGGTAAAGAGGCAGAAGCACCAGAAGGGCCGCGACTGGAGAAGACTGACTCAAAAGGGGGACGGGCGGGCGGTTCGCAAGAGTAGCCGGCGTCTTTCCAATTAAACTGCTCCACTGCAATGCGCTGCGATTGAGTCCCTCCGCATGAAGGTTCAGTTGCGCCTACAGATCGAGTTAGTCCACTTGTTGCGAGACTCAGTGTTATCAAATGAAATCTTGAACCGGAGCTCCACCAGCACCCGGAACTGAGGTACAAGAGCCGATCCCGACTCGGTTCATTATCACACCCATCAAACTTTCCAGAAGTAAACACTAACCTTCTGCGTTTCACTTTTTCGCTGTAGACACTGGCTAACTCTAGGATGCTTTGCGCTTGCAGCAAGGATGCGAATGGTCAGAATCTTTTCCACTCCCTGGCGTAAAGTCAGACCAACTTATGAGATCCTGCAGGGGGTGTCGCTGGATTTGCAAGGAACTCAGGAACAAGCAAGCGGAAGAAGAGAAGAAAAGGAAGAATCAATGCAGGAACCGGGAACTTTATTGCCTTGATCATCGCGAGGAATTTTGTGATGCATAGGAGTTCTTAGGGATTATCTATCTCTGGCGGTGATCGACTGACGTGGCACACGTCCGATTTGAGGCTGTTGGTGCCAGAGGCACGGACTGTGCTGGACACAGCGAATGGCCCAGCCTCCACTATTCGGATGAAGTGTATCCATTGCCGTTAGCCTTGATCAAGCCAGCACAGTATAGTGTTTCAGGTTGTAAGCATCTATGCAGTGGTATGTTTTTGTTACATGTGCCACCTACGAAAGTTCTGTTAACTATCTACCTCGAATATACTCCCTAAATTTTCGTTGGAAAAAGAGAACCAGGGAAAGCCGCAGCAGCTATAAGGGTGGGCCTGGCCAACACGGGAGCAGAACCAAATTGTGCAACTCTATGGTACACTAGGAACCGCCAGGTTGGGCAAATATTTGCTATTATCCTTCTGATATTCCACACCTGAAGCATTGTCCCAGGTTGACGATCCCCAAGTGCTCGGGATGTAAGCTTGAGACACCGTCCGCGGAGCACTTGTCGGTGTACCGTAAGTATGTTACTTACATCCACTTTGGGCCGATCGCTATCGTCGCCTCACTCGCCTGGCTCTGCGATACGACTGCCCACGAAAGACTGCTTGCTGCATGGCTTTGATCAGAGTGATTTTTCCAAATCGTTATCCCCGTTGACCGTACCTCATAAGGTAGGGATGCTTGGTGGAGGCTTATATACTAATTCAGATACATCCAATATCTATGGCAATACAAGGTATACAACTGGCGGCTACTTTGAGGTGTACAACATGGTGTCAGAATACCTACCAATTATCCGAAATAGTTTCCTCCCAACTAGAGAACAGATGATAATACACCCTTGCGTGTCACACATACGCCCCTTTCCGCACAATGCTAGGGTCATCTAACAGGGACGAGGAGCTCGCTTACCACAGAACCTGGCATGCTGCTTCTGCATTAATCCGTCGTCGAGCTAGGTACTAGATCACTAATTTCCCTTATTGAGATGCATCCAAAGGTCGCTCTAAGACTCCCATTCAGTTTTCAGCGATTATCTCCGACATCAGGGATGTAAAGAAGCCGACCGGGCTGCTCTGAGGTACCCCACATATTCTCCGCAAGTCTGAGTGTATCATGGCATCTGTATCACATCCCGCTCGCTGGTAAAGGGGCATGTTGAAACAACACCTAATCCTTGCAATGTGCCCTGCAGGAAATCATTATAGGAAGCCAGTAAGATAGATATTACGGACGTGTGGAGACAACATCACCCGAGGCCGTGGAAGCTGTTTCACTCATCGCCCGTCTGGTATCGGCACATCGTGGCACGACCCTGTGGCTGATGGATGTGTAAAATATTGTCCGTGCTGCTCAACCGATATCTAAGGTTCCATTTTGGGTTTCTACTGATCACATTCTCGGATATACTCAGTTCGATTCCTTGGCATAATTTGAGAATAGAGTTCCGCTCTATGGAATGCTTCTGGACTTACAGAAATCAGTAACAAGAAAAATAGAAATAAAAAAAGTTAGCCAGGATGAACCATCTAATTCGCCCAGTGTAAGCAAGTTACTTCAAGGTATGAGGGCAGTGCTACTTCGTGCATTTGAGAACTGGTGGTAGTTATACTTGTAGTACATTCTGTCTTGTCCCTCTGACAGTCGAAATGCAAATAGTACTACTAAGTGATAGGCCAGGAACTACTGTTTTCATAGCATAGTAGAAGAAGCACTGTAGTAGGAGAGACTATCAGCATACTTCCTATTAGTTGGTAGTAGGCACTGGAGGGAAGATTATTCTGATATGAAATGGAAAGAACATGAACAGATAGTGGCACTAGTATATATAAATGTGCAAGTTTTGGATATTTCGTAAACTTTTAGTTTAGGATGGAAATCCATCGATCGCGCAAGGCCTCTTCGAGGGACTTACTACTTACTACCGTCTCAATGAAGCGAGCGAAGATACTTTCAATAGAATGGCCATCAAGAAAATCTGTGAACTACATTAGTTTCTACTAATTACCCCAGCTACCCGTCTCCAGCGGTCTCGGCTGCTCAGTCTTCTCAACAGCCTGCGCGCAGTATCACCCGTGTAGAGAGCACTCTCCAACTTATCGTAGAACAATCTATGTCCAATGAAAGGAATTTACTCTACATAAATGAAGTGCCATAATATCGCCTCGAAAATATGATAAGAGATTACTCCATGTGGTGATCCCCAGTAAGTACCCGTGCCGTCAGGTGATATTAACGACGTCATCTGACTTGGAGGCTCACGCAGGCATCCATCCATCCTTATCGTTCGTCATCCCACCACTACCTGCCGCTGTCAGGTTCATGCGTACTTTTTCCTATACTGAAACCTACATCGTAGGATACAAGCCAAGATCTTACAGTGAACACTTGCATGGTCAGGAGGTTGATCAATAGTGTACCTATTCTACCATTGCAGCCATGTGTGGTTCAGACATCTTTCTAGCGATTCTCGCGGTTTTCTTTCCCCCAGTCTCGGGTGAGTATTGATCGCACATTGAATTGCATTTGCGAGAGGACGCATGCTAACCGACTGGCTCAGTGTGGATCAAAGTAGGCATTTGCACGGCCGATTCCATCATCAACCTTGCTCTCTGCTGCCTTGGCTACGTGCCCGGGCTTTTACACGCCTGGTACATTATACTCAAGTACCCCGAACCAGATTACGATGACCCTAGCTACGAACCTCTCCCTGGCGATGCGGAAAACGGTCGCGTAACATATTACTATGTTTCCCACCAGCCGATCCAGCATCCCTCCCAGAGGGGCTATGGTACTTTGCCGCCACAACAGCCCCAAGCAGCAAACGCCCCGCCACAGAACCAGCAGCCTACTCCGAATCACTCTCAGGAACAAGCCCAAGCTGGCAGCAGCAGCCAGGAACATCATGATAGTCGCCCACCTCCTACCTATGCTGAGGCCGTGAAGGGAGACCATAAAGTGCAGGACTGAGTGCCTTAGAGGAAGGGAAGACCGGCAGCCCCATTCGCATTTACTGCGCTAGGAGTGATTCACTGTCCGGAATTATTGCTTCATGAGAGCTCACTCGCTTTACACATCCTACTCCTATCTTGCCTTGTGACGCCCATCGCAGGAGATCTTTCTGCAGTTTACTCTGCGATCACGCATAATGACGTTGTTAATCATGTATTGTCTACATCATTCTAACGCTTTCTTTCGTATCAGCGGACTAGGACACCAAGGAGGTTAATGTCGTTTCACGTTTGTTTAGCTTACTCTTATACCAATAAAATTACCATGCGAACAGGATGTACACTATGTAAAGCATTAGAAAATCAAGCAGACCCCGAAAAGTCTCCATTCAAAGCCACGAGAAATAGTCTTGTCGGAACCAACAAAAACATCCCCAACGTTGCGCTACTGAAATACCCACCAGAACCGTGCAGAACCGCGGCGATTCCGCATGACCGCCTTCTCTCCCGGCGCCGACCAGCCTTGAAACCCACCCGATAATCCAGCACAACAAACGAAACAAGCGTCTGGTCGGCGTCCCAGTGGCCTTAGCAACGGCCATGCAGTCTATGCCATTGCTGCTCAGGCAGTCCTTCAAATCAACTCTCAACCTCACCCGAACAACCCGCCCAGTCCAACGACGACCGCTCCTGCCCGCCGTTGGACCGAACTCTCTTTACCCTGCACCGCGGAACTTCTCCATCTGCCTGCAATGTCAATTCCGAACCCAGTCCTCGCTTTACTCGTCTGATTCCCTCAAAGACGGGAAGCCTGCTGAGCAGCCGAAAGAAGATGCAAGCCCAGTCATAGCTCTTCCCGCAGGGAACGCAAATCTAGAAGCCGATGCGGGGAGTCAGCAACAGGCTCCTCCCGCTGCTGCGGAGGCGGGCGAAAGTACACAAAGCCAGCAGCAGCAGCAGCAGCAGCAGCAGCAGCAAGAAGAGAAGAGCGAGGCCAATGGAAAGGGATGGGGAGATGGAGGGCTTCCATCCTACATAGAGCAACGCAGGTCACAATTCACAAAGCGGTTCAGTGATGTGATGGACAACCTGCAGTCCAACATTTTCGTGGCAGGACAGCGATTGAATGATCTTACGGGCTATTCGGCGATCGAAATGTTGAAGAAGGAGATTCACAGACAAGGTATGTGGCACCCATATTCCATAACTTAATCATTAGAACTATTGTTTCTAACCTTTGACATGGGTGAATAGAGGAGCGACTCCGCACCGCCCGCCTCCAAGTCCGCACAGCGAAAGATGCCTACGCAGCTGCCATCAACAACCGATCGACCTCCCAGCGCGAAGTCAATGAGCTTCTCCAGCGCAAACATGCCTGGTCCCCCACTGACCTGGAACGATTCACCCACCTCTACCGCAACGACCACACCAACGAAGTAGCCGAGCACGAAGCACAGGAGGCTTTGAGCCAGGCCGAACACGAGGCCGAAGAGGCCGCTGCACAATTGAGCAAGAGCATTTTGTCCCGGTATCACGAGGAACAAGTCTGGTCGGACAAGATCCGCCAAATGAGTACTTGGGGTACCTGGGGCCTGATGGGCGTCAACGTTCTTCTGTTCCTGATATTTCAAATCGCCGTGGAACCCTGGCGTCGCAAGAGACTCGTCAAGGGCTTCGAAGAGAAGGTCATCGAAGCCATTGAGAAGGAAAAGGCGCTTGATCGCATTCAGATCGTGACTGCTCAGAACCAGATGGCGCAGGAATCGTCTACTACATCTACCGCCTCTACAGCGACTCCTGAGACCGCTGAGACCGCAGAGACCGCAGAACCATCTGCCTCTCCCGCAGATGAGCCAATCGCTGATACCGATGCAATCGTCACGATTGAGAGCACCGAACCAGAGGTATTTAGTTCGGATCCAGCTGATGCCGAACCGCCAGCCAATACCATAGTCAGCAAACCCACCCCTGACAATATCCGGGAGTATATCAAATTCCAGCTCGCGCGCGTCTCTCCCCTCTTAGAATCCTTGCGCCAATATCTCCACGATCTCTTCAGTGACCGCCAAGTCGTGCTCACGCAACGAGACCTCTCTACTGTTGCTCTGCAAAGCGCTGCTGCTGGTGCGGCGGTGATCGGCATGTTGTCGATGATTATTCGGCAACGGTGATGAGGAGGTTATCGCCATTGATCTGTTTGATAGCCTGATTGATGTAATTATTAGCATGTGATGTTCATATTAATTATTAGATGTACAGCGTTCAGATAAATAAATGTATAAATAGATAGACACTTCTTACCTCATCGGTGCTTGTCCCAGAATTTACTAGTACTTACGTATTGGTAATTGGAACGGTGACCGCAATTCAGTACAAAAGAAACCGGAACATTGATGGTGACTATACGAAACATTGAAAAGCAAAAGACAAAACACATATACTCAACATCGAACATACAAACAGATAGATACACATCTGTATGTCCAGCGTCACCCACCCACACATCTTCCCCAACGTCTATATCCAAAACAAAAGCAAAGAACACGGGGCCCTGAAGAAACAACGAGTGAGTGATACAGGCTCTATGAGCAAGCGGAGGGAAGAAGGAAAGAAAAAAGTGTTAAGAAACTGTAATAGAACAAGAGGCTCATTTTTCCAGGGTCCATATTAAAAACACAAGGTCTCTTTAATCTTGACAAAAAGACACACATAGAGTAGAAAGCGAGAGAGGAAGGCTTTCGTCTAATGCACAAATACAAACCTTCTCTCTCTCTCTTTCTCTCTCCCTTCCCCTTCTCCGACTTCTACTTCTGCTCTTACGGCCATCGCCCGATTCCCGCGGTCTCAGATCGAATCAATTCTAAATCGTTTAACCGATGACGAGGGTGTCCTCGGAGGGGAAGTTGTATTGGGGAACCTCGAGGTTGAGGGGAGCGGGTCCCTTTCTTATACGGCCGGAGATGTCGTAGTGCGAACCGTGGCAGGGGCAGAACCAGCCGCCATAGTCGCCGGATTCACCGATGGGGACACAACCAAGGTGAGTGCAGACACCTAGATAGGGGGATATATATTAGATGGGAGGTCAATGGCGGGTCGGGGAGGAGTATGTCGTACCAAGCATGACAAGCCACTCGGGCTTCTGGACACGGTCCTCGTCGGCCTGGGGGTCACGGAGGGACTGCCACTCGGTCTTCTGGGCCTCCTGGATCTCGTCCTGGGTGCGGTGACGGATGAAGACGGGCTTACCACGCCACTTGATGATAACCTGTTTCGGAATCGGTCAGATGCTGGATTGCAAAGGGGGACGAGCCAGCCTTCTGGTTCGGGGGAAAAGAGAATATAGAACATACGTTCTTGCCCTCAGGGATGGCACCAAGGCCAATCTCAACCTTAGCCTGGGCGAGGACATCGGCGGAGGCGGACATGTTGACCAGGAAGTCTAGTAATGAGAGAAACTCCATATCAGCGATTTGTCCCGAGCGGTCAAGCACACAGCCATTCCCTCCCATTGTTCAACCTGATATTCCCCCCCTCCTAGTTTTTCCTCCTCTTTTCTCATGTATATGCGCAATATTCAATGTCTCCAGGGGTACCTACCCTGGACGGTGGCCTTAGCACCGACGGCAGAGGCCAGACCGAGGGAACCGGCCATGAAGTAAGAGAAGACCTGGTTGGAGCGTGGGGGCTTCTTGGACTGGTATTTGCTGAAATCGGGGATCTTCAGGGTGGAAGAGTACTCCTTGGAGCTGCCGAAGGGGCTATCGAAAGTGGACTTGGAGGCATCAGCGACTCCCCTCCGCTGCTGGCAGGAGGCAATGGCGGCGCGAGAAGAGGGCAGTTGTTGCCGGGCGCAAGCGCGCAGGATAGAGCTGGAAGCGGCGGAGAGAGACATGGCGAGACGAGCAATTGCAATCAATTGCAATAGAGAACGACCGCAGGGAGGTGGGTTGGGGTGTGGGGGGTGGAGAGGGAGAGATAAGGACGGAGGGAGGATTTGATTTTCCCAAGAGGTCGAGGTTGAGGTCGGAGGCCCGGCATACGGAAAGAGTCGAACCAAAGCTTTCGCTACGACAAGCGATCGGAATCACGGGGCGTTTCATTGGCCCGTCGTCCCGTCTTAGTCAGGCTCTCACCTGACAGTCAATCATCACAGCCTATTACAAAGTAATCATTCTTGACTGTTTAATATACACATTACGTTCTTTACCATCTACTCTTATTTCCGCAATTCATATATCTTTCATGTTCATTGACACTTTTTATTGTGTTTTCCTACCAACTCATACCCTTATTACGCCATTCGTCGTTCACTCCCGCCCGCTCATCCCGTCGTCCGTTCCATTCCGCTGCCCCAATATCCGAATATCCCAATGCGATTGACCAACAACATATTACAATGGACTACCCACAGGTTGAAACCAAAGCAAAATGATATTTCCAAATAACTCCACCATGCAAAGATAAAATATGTATAAATTCCCAGAACTCATAATCGTCTGAATCCGTCACTGGTCCGTCATCTCAACATCCTGATCTCCAGCAGATGTATCAACCGTTCGATCCACCATCATTGTCACCGTTGGCGGTCGAGACCCCCTCGAAGGTTTGTCATCTACTGGCTGTAGACTTTGTTGTTCCTCAAGTTCCTCTTTATCTTCGACAGCTGCAGGTAAATTGCCGTTTAATGTGCGCTGTCCCTTCTCGGGTCCGGGTTCCTTCTCCTTCGCCCGTTTCTCCTTGAACTGCTTATAGGTCGTGGTTTTGGGGATCACGTCGGAAAGAAATTCGAGGTTGTCGATGCGTGATACGGCCGTAGCTGGATATCCATCCGTCAGTAACTCATATTATCATCCCTTTGCCCAGTGGTCACTAACCCAGGTCCTTGTATTGGATAAGCTTGCGCGGCTTTCGTTCGGATTTAACAACGTTGTGTCCTTGTTCGGTAAGGTATTGAATGAATAGCTCCTAATTTCGTGAAAGAGATGTGAGTGTTGATAGCCTCGATATTGACTGAAGAGGGGAGGAAGTATCGTAGTCACGAACCGTGGCCATGGCGATCACAAACGTAGCGTTGCTCGAACATTGTACGATATCGTCGTCTAATTGAATAATCTTCTTGATCCGCGAGACTTCAGCTCATGTTAGCCTTGCACTTATAGCCAGAAAACTTCCCACATACTTGGAAGTGCGCTCTGGCCTGTGATCTCTCGGGAAGACGATGCTTCCGCCGCAGCTTTGTCCTTGGGCGGCATCGCGACGTCGCGTCGGAGATAGTCGTGCAAGTAATGCTCTGGACGATATCGGATTGCACCTGAGGAGAATAACACGAAGTAATGAGTGTAGGTGAGACGGTACTTTCACTCCTGCGACTGTGTTGATACAGAGACAAACCCAGTAAGTGAAGTTGCAAAGAAGGGAATTCCGGCGCGTGCGGCGTCGAAATCCACTCTCGCGCGTGGCGGAAGAGGAAAGTAAATGAATAATGTATGGTTCGGAAGAGGATCGATTCCAGCAAACGCTGCAACTACCAACTAGTTATTTCACGCTTATTAGGGGACCTGTCAGCCAGCACTCGATGCAGATCCCTGATCTGTATCTACAAATTACACTCTATTGTCCTGCATCCTAGCATTTTGTCTTTGTCTATTCAGCCTCGTTTTGAGAGAAGCCCGAGAGCCGGAAAACAGTCCGGATCCCTCACGTGGGCGGCCGCGCATCCTATCGTCGTCATCTCCGATCCAACAGAATTACCCCCAGATTTCCCCTCTTACTAGCTTCAGCTATGCCCATTTTGCGCTGTCAGTCTATGGAATGAGTTGCGATGCCTGTCTCACCCTCTTCGGCTCGTCCGCCTCCCCTCTCGTCTGAGCGTCGGAATTGGAGGAGGTTATCAGGCTTATCTGTCGTCTCACCGATCCACGAGCGCCCGACCCCGGAAAATGGCCAGCCCTCCGCGATCACCGAGGAGATCAGCGAAATTAAGCGCTACGAAGATTTTACAACCATCGACTGGGTGCAAGATGCGGTTCATGAACAGGCACGTCGGAGAGCCAAGCGACGAGATGGATCTGGGTTTTGGGACCAGGAAGAGACCTTTGGTTGGAGACGCAAAGTGCGCGAATCCTACGATGCTGGTCAGGCGTGGCTGGTTATTACAATTGTGGGGGCGGCCATTGGGTTGATCTCAGCGATTCTGAACATCATCACAGAGTGGCTGTCTGACGTCAAGCTGGGGCATTGTACGACTGCGTTTTATCTCAATGAACAGTTTTGTTGTTGGGGTGCTGAAGGAGGTATGTCGGACTGGTGGTGCGATCGCCCCTCGCTGTCTGAGCTGATGGTTCTTTGTTTTCAGGGTGTCCGGAGTGGAGGCCTTGGACCTCTTACTGGATCGTGAACTACTTCATCTACATCTTTTACGCTGTATGGCTGTCCACTCTGCTCGTTCCGAATGAATGGAGCTGACCTCGATAGGTACTATTTGCGTTCGTCGCCGCAAGCCTCGTCAAATCGTTCGCGCCGTATGCCGCAGGTTCCGGCATTTCCGAGATAAAGTGTATAATTGCGGGGTTTGTGATGAAGGGATTCTTGGGCGCATGGACATTGCTGATCAAGTCGATCGCACTACCGCTGGCCATTGCATCTGGTCTGTCCGTGGGGAAAGAGGGTCCGAGTGTGCACTTCGCTGTGTGTACGGGGAACGTGATATCGCGGTTCTTCAGCAAATACAAGCAGAACGCATCCAAGACGAGGGAGGTCTTGACGGCAACAGCAGCGGCCGGAGTGGCAGTTGCATTTGGCAGTCCCATTGGTGGGGTGCTCTTTTCTCTCGAGGTATGGACAGCAGGGCCGATATGAAAGCTCTCACTGATTAGCTGGCAGGAAGTGGCATCGTACTTCCCCCTCAAGACTTTATGGCGCAGTTACTTTTGTGCCTTGGTTGCGACTGGTGTGCTGGCGGTATGTCTACCAAATGAATGCCTTGACTGGCTGTCGCTGACACAATGCAGGTTATGAATCCATTCCGGACAGGGCAACTAGTCATGTTCCAGGTGCAATATGACCGTACCTGGCACTTCTTCGAACTGATATTCTTCGTCTTAATTGGTGTCTTTGGTGGCTTGTACGGTGCCTTTGTGATCAAGTGGAACCTTCGGGTGCAAGCGTTCAGGAAGAAGTACCTGTCGCAGCATGCCATCATGGAATCAGTTGTCCTAGCCGGAATCACGGCCATTCTATGCTACCCGAATATGTTCCTGAAGATCAACATGACGGAGATGATGGAGATCCTTTTCCGGGAATGCGAGGGAGGGCACGACTATAACGGCCTGTGCGAGTAAGTGGCATCATTCGGTTGGCGCAACACGTACTCACCTATTATAGGGCTAAGAACCGCTGGTCTATGGTGATGTCGCTGGCCGTAGCTACCATTCTTCGCATCTTCTTGGTCATCATCTCATATGGCTGCAAGGTCCCAGCTGGTATCTTCGTGCCGTCAATGGCAATCGGGGCGTCCTTTGGCCGGTTCGTCGGTATCCTCGTGCAGGCGTTGCACGAAGCGTATCCGAAGTCTCAATTCTTTGCGTCCTGCGAGCCGGATATTCCATGCATTACACCAGGAACATATGCTTTCCTGGGGGCGGGCGCGGCTCTGAGTGGTATCATGCATTTGACGATCTCTGTGACGGTCATCATGTTCGAGTTGACGGGTGCTCTGAACTACATTCTTCCAACAATGGTGCGTTTATTGCAAAACTATCCCCGTACTACCACTAACTCATAACTAGATCGTCGTCGGCGTCACCAAAGCCGTCAGCGACTGCTTCGGCAAGGGCGGCATCGCCGACCGCATGATCTGGTCCAACGGATTCCCATTCCTCGACAATAAAGAAGACCACGTCTTCAACGTGCCGGTCTCGCAAGCCATGACATCGGACCCAGTCTCACTGCCCGCATCCGACTTTCCCGTCCGCGAAGCCGAGCACCTACTAAGCGACAACAAATACCAAGGCTTCCCGATCGTTGACGACCGGACCCGGAAGACACTCGTCGGATACATCGGCCGCACGGAGCTGCGATATGCAATCAACCGCGCCAAAGCCGAGGGACCGCTATCGCCGACAGCAAAATGCCTATTCACTAAAGAAGCAGCCGAGGCATCAGTAACACGCAGGGCATCGACAGCATCACATCTCCACGTGCCGGAGACCTTCGACGACATCCAGACGAACACAGGGGCCGACTACGTCGATTTTAGCCGGTACGCGGACCACACGCCGCTGACAGTACATCCTCGTCTCGCCCTGGAGACGGTAATGGAGATCTTCAAGAAGATGGGACCGCGCGTCATCCTGGTCGAGCATCGCGGTCGTCTGATGGGCCTGGTCACCGTCAAGGACTGCCTGAAGTACCAGTTCAAGGTTGAAGCCGAGGAACAGGCGCTGGCGGCGACTAGTCCGCCCCAACTAGCTCTGGGGGGAGGGGGCGGACGGAGTGGTGGTGACACGTTAGAAGAGCGGCTGTGGAACCTCCTCCAGCGCATCGGGTCTTTACTGCCGTGGCAGAGGCCACCACCACAGCAGCAGCAGCAGCAACAACAACGACAACAACAACAATCCAGACGACGAGACACCACAGCTCCAGAGCATCATAGAGATGCAGAGACCACAGCCAACGAAGCAGACGAGGAAGACGCAATGCTGGAGTTAGAAGAGCGCTAACCTCCCCCGCCTTCCCCTTCCATCCATCATGATACACATAACACAAAGAATAGATTAGCAGTAGATAGATAGCATTGATACCACACCCACACACATAAATCATTGTACATACTACCTCCTCCCTACCAACCCCCTCCCTATCACATAGAAAATAACTAATCCCTCCTCCCAACAATAACACAACCTACTCCCATCATCGCGGCCCCAACCCACCACCACCCGCCGACCCTCTCCCCAAAGACCCCCATGCCTAGCATAGCCGTAACCAGAAAATTAGCCGCGGTATTGGTAATCGACACCTTCGTGGTGGAGGACCCCGCCGTCAGGGCGCGCGTGAACAACGCCCACATGATGATGTTGCTAAGGATGTTGAGACCGAAACAGAGGCCGCGGATTAGGAGCATGAGGATAGGGTGAGAGGATATAAGGTCTGCGTCGGAGATGTTGTTGGCGGAGGTGAAGAGGTGGATGAGGTGTGCAGCGAAGGTGGTGGTGGCAGTGTCGGTTGTTCTGGGTCTTTCATTAGCAATGTTCATGGGGAGGAATTAGGGAGGAGAAGGATCGTTTACAGCTTTGCGAAGAGGCCGTTAAGGGCTGCGAAGGCGCCGCTGGAGAGGGCGAGGAGGAGCCATTTGGTTTGGTGTGGCTTTTGTTGTTGTTGTTGTTGTTGTTGTTGTTGTTCTGGGTTGGGGTGTGATTGGGGCTCTTGGGATGGGGATTGGGGTTCGGACATGTTGAATGTATTGGTATGTAGTGTGTTGGAAGGTGTGATTGAACTGTGTAATGTATGTAGTATAGGGTAGAGGAGGACTTAGGTGCGATAATATCTGGGGAAATTGGGAGGTGAGGTTGCTCTCCTATCGATAAGGTAGGTCTTGGCTGCTGCCAGATGGGGGCGATAGCTATTGTATACAGTGTCCGGAGTATAGCGAAGTCGATGTCAACTGCTAGTGGCTAAGCTCGTAACAATATTATTCATGTATAACCTTTATAATAGTAATTATTAAACTGTGTCGCTCATGGCGACAGCCTCTGAATCCGCCATATATACCCCCCTTCCTCTCCGTCCTCCTTATGCACCCTCACATACCGGAATCGGTCATGCAACCGACTGCGCCGACCCTGCCAGAACTCCACCGACTCAGGGACCAAGCGCACTCCTCCCCAAAACGGAGGCAGAGGGATCTGCTCGACCCCCGCAAACCGTTCCTCCATCTCCTTGACCCGCTTCTCCAACAGCGCCCGCCCATCGTCGATGTCCGTCGCGTCCACATCCCCGGGGACCTGCATCTGCGGACACAAAGTCGGATCCAAGCTCTTGCGCCGACGATCCAGAAGCAGCTCCGGCTCCATAGACCACAGCACCTTGCTCTGCCAGCTCGCCCAAGCTCCGATCTGGCTCCCTCGTTCCCGAGTACGCCAGTACATTTCACTCTCATCGCGACTGAGCGGCTCGACGAGACCCTCGATGCGCACCTGACGTTCCAGATTCGACCAGCAGAATGTCAATGCCGCCCATTTGTTGCCCTCTTGTAGTCCGGCTTGAAGAGACTCGTCCTGGCCGGGTTCGGGCATGGCGCTGAGCGTGTCCTCGCCGTCTGCGTGATTGCCAAATACTTGTCCGCCCTTGCCTTCTCGACTGCCCCAGTTACTGTAAACTACCCAGCCTCGCTCATCCAGTTCCTTGAGGTATACGACACGGGCGCTCACCCGACCGGAGGGCATGCTGGCTGTAGCGAGGGTGCAGGTTTCAGGTGCGGACGACGGAAGGAGACGGGGATCGCGGAACCAGTTGTGGAATTGGTGGAGAGGGTTGGTCGGGTGCATCTGGGAGATAGTGAGGGGTGGGTTGCTCACGAACTGGTGAGCGCGGGCAGGGTGGGAAACGATCTCATTTTCAGTCACCGAGTCGGGGGTCGATGCGTTCGAGCGAAGGGCTTCTGCGGCGAGACGAGAGATGGGTGCTGGTGCTGTTGTGACTCCGGTGGCTGTAGCAGAGGGATCGGGCGTCTCGGTGGGGGTGATTTTTGGCTCGGGCGTAGTCTGGATGTCTCCTGGAGCGACTAGATATGTGGTGAGTGATAGGTTCTCCTTGAGATGTCTTGCGACGACGTACAGATCAGCTTCTTGGGATGTTTTGCGTCGTGGCTGGGCCCATCGGGCAGTGATCCGGGATTCATCGTAGAGGTACGTCCGGAGCTGTAGTAACGACAGCAGGCGACTGATTGTAGCTTACGGAGGGGTTGATGAAAGGGAAGACGCAAACGGTAAGGATGCATCGACTGGTCGTGCGATGCTCAATTGCTGGAGTCAGTCAGAGAAGCACAAGGTGGGCTGACCAAAAGCGAGGGAAGAAGCCGATGCGGAGGGCGGCGGGGTCATGCAGTCATTCGCGGCCAAAACACCATCGGCCGGCTCGGCACCTCAACGTCACCATCTAAGAGATCTACATCTACATCTACGACGGTTAGATCGATCTGGATACTAATGTGGAAGCATTTTATAGTCCATTCATATAGACACTAAAAGAGGTGAGAGGATCTATCGAAACACGTCAAATCATGGTATATACAAGCCAGTCCCAAATGCTGCCACAACGCCTGTGCCAGTTCGCTAAATGCATTCAAATCCAAGCCAAACAAAACAACAATATCAACCAGCCAGCATGAGTTGCCCTCCCAAATGCCTCTGCCGAGACCATCGGGCTGGAAAGCCGAAAAAGCAGGGATCCAGCCCTGGTGAATTATAACCGGATAGTGATTCAGTCAATAAGGTTTTGAAATCCGCGAAAATCAAAAAAGGATGGCAACTTTTGTTGGATGGAAAAGAAACTCCGCCACGGAACACTCTACAGAGCAGCGACAGCAGCTCCCGTGCCCACCAGATCGGCGATCTTGCTAGCCACGGCCGCGGGATATCCGCGAGAGAGCATCTCCTGCACGGTGCGCGAGGCTCCCTCCCGGTCGTTGTTGGCCAGGAAGGCCCGGGTCATCGCTTCGTAGGTGCTAGGCTCCCGCTTCTCGATGCCAATGCTGTCATACACCGTCTTAGCCTGGGCCACGCTGCCCTCCGTGGCCCATCCGTGGATGAGAGTGTTGGCAATGTAGGCCGTCATCTCCACTCCACGGCGGGCCATGTCCCGGACGATCTCCTCAGTCTGCGCGACCTGGTGGTTGGCCACCATGGCCTCCAGAAGGGCCTGGTACAGACAGGGTTGCATCCGCACCTTGCGCTCCTCCGCAACAGACTTGAACACAGCGTGAGCAGCTTCCATGTCGTGCATCACACATCCCTTGGCGTGGATCAGGGACGCGTAGTGGACGGCATCGGGACGCTGGCCAGCAGCCTTGATGGTCTCGAGGACCTTCTCAGCCGCCGGCATGTCCACGGGCTCCAGGGAGGCGTGAGCGTCGATGAGCAGCTTGTAGGTGTGCATCGTAGGTTGGATGTTCCGGGTCAGCATGCGTTCGTAGTAGGCCAGAACCTTGCTGCGGTCCCGCTTGGTGTTGAGGAAGTATTGGATCATCGAGTTGTACGGGGCGGGACGGGGCTTGTAGTTGGGCATGGACTCCATCTCCTCGAACATCTCCTCGGCAAAACGCTCGTCGCTGACCCGGCAGAGGGCATTGACGATCGTTCCGTAGGTGACACTCGTCGGACGGACCCCATTGGCGCGCATCTCGGCAAAATACAGCAAGCAGTCATCAATCCGACGGGCCTTGCCCAGCTTACCGATGAGCGCGTTGTACAGGAACGAGGTAGGCTCCACTCCCTCAGCCACGGCGCGGTGGAAGATCTTCAAGGCCTCGGTGGCTTCGTCGAACGTCTTGGTGGATTCCTTGAGGGTGGTAATGTACAGACCGAAGGTGTTGGCGGAAGGAGCCGAGCCAAGTTTGAGAAGCTCCTGGTGGAACTTGGAGGCTTGGCTGCGATCGCCCAGAGTCAGACAGGACGCCACCATAGCATCCAGGATCGAAACCCAGCCGTACTTGACGGCGCTGTACTGAGGAAGAAGAGGCACGTCGCGTCTAGCCATGCTCAGGATCTCGTAGGCCAGATCGACCCGGTTGCACTTAGTAGCAGCCGTAATCATCTTGGCGTACGTGATGTAGCGAGGGTGACGGCCGTTGCGGCGCATGTTGCGAACCCGAGAAAGAGCGTCGTTCAGATGAGCCTCCAGCTTGCCACTGGTGCTCTCTAGCTCGTCGGAAATCATCGACGACCCGCGGAAGTCGGTGGCGTAGGCGTAAGGGTCAAACGAGTCATCGGTGGAGGACATGGGGGTCATCGTCGACACATCCGAGCTGGGAGAGTGGCGGCCACTCATGAAGGAGGACGGGCTGGACGTCAAAGCCAGGTGGTCGTGCCATCTCTTGACCATGTCGGGCCGGCTGTTGAACAGCTTGCCGACAGCCTGGTCGACGACACGAGTAGTGACGGCGTCCATGGGCAACCCAGTAGCTAGAGCAATGTCGAGCATGTGAGAGAAACGAATGGGGTGAGCCACATCGAACACGGCGCTGTGGTTGACCAGCATGCCAGCCTGGACCTGGAGGGCAAGCATGAGATCGCGGGCGTTCAGTTGAGAGATACCGATAGGACCAAGGCTGGCGACAACATGTTCAGCGACGGGGGAGATCAGGCCTCCGTTCTCGACCATCGACCACAGGAGCGACATGGCAGCTTGAGGAGAGAGGACAGCCGCTGTCTGCACAAGAACGCGACCGATGAGGTGAAGGCTTTCGTTGATCTGTTCGCGGATGGGGTTCAGGCTAGAGTTGTCGGCGACAGCAGAAGCGTTGCGGACACGAGAAAACATATTGCGAGCTTGGACCAAAGCTTCCTCGATCTGACCACTCTTCAACAAGGCCACTGCATACATGGCGGTCGGCTGGACCATGTCCGGCGTTGCCTGACCGGTGGTGTTCAGGGTGAGCCACACAGCCCGGGCAGCTGACACATTGCCCTGACGCACATGCAAGGCGAGCATCGAGATGGCGGGCCTCTGACGAATGGTCATGTCGGTGGGGAGAGCATCGTATGCTTCGGAAGCTGTCTGCAGATTACCCGCATCCGCCGCGGCAATGCAGATCTGGGACATGGCATGATCGAGGGCTCCATCGCGCAACCGGGTCTTGGCCTGATCCAACGCCCGCCCGTGCTCGCCCGACGTGAGCGCATGCTGCACCAGCCCATCTTGCACCACTGCCGATTCCAAGGCCTGCTGGCGCGCCTCACGGTTCTCCGTCACCTCCTCAAAGGAGGCCTGAATCCGCTCCAGGAATCGCAAAGCTTGCTGTTCCTTCCCGCAGACCAGGTACGCCCGGACCAGAGCAGCGTAAACCTGCCCATCCAACCGTTGCACAATGCAGAAGGTTCCGTTATCATCCGAAACCGCTAATCCCTTGTATTCGTTGTAACATTCCACAGCACTCTGCAGATCTCCCGTAGAGGCAAAGGCGTCAATCATGGATGGGAAAATCGAAGCGTGCGGGGTCACCTTGTGGGACTCCATATGTCCATACACTCGGACCATGTCTTCGACTTGGCCCTCCTTTGCACAGGCGCTGATCAGATGGCGGTAGGTGTCGAGAGGGAAGACGAGATCGGCATGACGCGTGGCGGCGGTGTTGAACAGCTTCATGGCAATTCCCAGCGAGTGATCCTCGGCAAGAATGGCGCGCTCCAGCTCACTGGAGTGCAACATGAACTTGCCCGGCTCCTCCATACCACCGTAGCGAGCACGCTCCTGCTCCAGCAGGCTCTTGGATTTGATGGCATCGTTGGCACGGACCACGAACAGCTGCACCAAAGTTTGGTAGGTCTGCTCGTCGGGAACTACCCTGCGACGAAGCATGTCCGAGTAGACATCCAGGGCTTTCTGGATGGCCTGAGCAGTATCGCCATGGAGTTGAATGGCCGATTCGAGTAGAGCATTGTAGGCACCGACCGTAGGCGTAAGACCATCCCGCAAAATTGTTGCAAATGCTCCGGGGATCTCAGCGTATTTATTGTTCGAAGCCAGATCGGTGATGTGCTCCGAAGCAAGGCGGGATTGCTCGGTGGAGGCATCGGCTACAGCGGCGACATCCGGGGGCAAATCAGGGAAAGCTTCCGTATCCGTGTTCTCCTTGGCTTCGGAAGCCTCGTCGACCTGAGCCTGCTCCTCCTGTATCTGAATCTCCCGGGCTACAGCCTCTTCAACCTTGGCACTGACATCTGCGTTGGCGGATGCCTTGGTGATATGAGGCGAATTATGAAAGTTGTTGTCGGCCGAGGGCAGGTGGTCGGACTCCTTCGATTTGACGCCATCTTCGTTCAAGGACGGCTTCCAGCCAACCTTCCTTTTCAGTTGCATCTGCTTCCAGTCACTGTCATCGCCTGTCTGCTGGGCATGCTGCCAGGCAGCATAGTAGGCAGCCAAGCCCAAATCGCCGGAGCCCGAAGTGCCCTGGCTGGCCTTGGCGCCCGCACCAGACGAGCTAGATGGCTGGAAAACATTTTGTAGCTGCGTCGTCCGAGATAGCTTAGCGGCAGGTTGACTGGCAATCTGGTTAAATGTGGTGGTTGACGCGTATGACGACTGCGAGGCCGCGACTACGGATTGAGCATAGCCATGAGTAAAGGCTTTGGTGAAACTCTGACGCGCGAGGTGGGTAAACGGCTTGAAGACCATTTATCTAGCGGGTGACCTCTTCAGAGGGAAGAGGCAATGCTAATAAAATTGTCAGTGACTGCTGGTATACGTGGTATTTTCTGATAGTTCGGATTTTGTGGTGCCTTTTGTCCGGAAGACGCCACGGGAAAGCGTACCTTGCAATCAAAATAATAATGAAGATGCAGGTTCATTTGACGACGTCAGGTCGCCAAAGGAACGCGCGGGATAAAGGAGAGAGGGGGGTAGAAGGGAACAAGATGAATATTGGCAAAAAAGCCTTTCAGTGACAAGAGGATGAGAATTCAGCAGCTGCTGAGCGTGTGGAGGGAAATGCTGGGTATTTCAAAGCCGCCGGAAAGCTGATCTGTATCGCCGGGCGTGTCTAAAGAGGATTAGCGCCGATCCTATCCCGACTTTTCCTGTTTTGAGACTAGGTACTTTTGCGGACCAATGGGAAGACGAAGAATTGAGTTTTTCACTGGGGCGCGGAATGAGGAACCCTCACAACCAGCTGAAAGGGGAAAGGCAATTGTATTGTCGTCTTGAATATGTAAAGTATTAGTGATGGGAATTGGTATGTGTGGGGGAGACACTGAGAATTACCGAGAGAAAGGGACTCTGGGCTATAAATTTGTAGATTTGTCCGTTAATCCGATAAGAGGGGTAAACGAGCAAGAAAAACGCCCCTACGGAAAATTAAGGAGCAGTGCTTTAAGTAGTTACAAAGTAAAAAAAGGAGTACGACCATGAGCCATGGACGAACAAGAAAATGAGTAAGAAAAAGTAAAAAAATCCTACGAAAAATTCTCTCCGGCATCCACAGGTACGAAACAAGAAAAAAAGAGGCAGAAACAGAAGCAACGTCAGCCTTCGAGAAGCGTCGTTGTTGCCTGAGGCGCAGGATTGGCGGGAATTCCCAAAAGGAGCTGATCAGGTGGTCTCACGGCAAGCCCCGGATCGTAAGCCAGACCCAATCGGGGCACACGACACACTGGGGCCGTAGGGAAGAACAGGAGCGCCATTTTCTGGATCCTCTCCTGGCATCTGCCATTCTCTGCCATTTAGAGAGGTTTCTGCCACTGTCTGTCACTGTTCGGACCAGTCTGGCCGGCCCGCTCCTCTCAGTGACTCACCCTCCGTTCCGGCTCTTTTTCTTCGGGCCCGGAGTTTGACTGCCAGACCCCGACAGCCCGCCGGACACCCGGATGGCCGACTCTCCGTCTTGGGTTTGGCTCTCCCCAAAGGGATGATGACCCTTTGCCCCTGCGGTCTCAGATCGCAAGACGTATTTACGGCGTGGTCCCAGGCTAATCTCCGTACGGAAGACACTGTGGCCTCAACTCAAGCAATCGCTTATTGGTCCCCTCGATCAGATACGAACTGTTGACCTGGTCTGAGGTCCCGGACCCCTGGTACACAGTCCGTTGACGGAAGTCAATTTAGGGGGTACCTTAATTCGGGTGTTTGTGAGGACAATAACTAGAGGGAGGAGCGTGACTTGAGCAGATTATGAGCTGTTACCACTGGCCTTACTTCGGTCCCTGCTCCAAGCATGGCTTTGGCTCCGTGATGAGCCTGCGGCATCATTTAACAACGCACGATGTGATGGGATAACTGCATCCCTTGGAGCTGCTGCCTACCAAAATCTCCCTGACATCAGATGACAGTACGGAGCAGTTAAGCTAGCTTGTTATCTTCGGAGTACACCCATGCATTAACTCTACACTGCCACCACCGGATGTCACTCTTCCGCTGACGTAGATGCGGTTGCTGCTCTAGCGGATAGGGCTATCTTCCATGACGACAGCTTTGATACAAAGTACGGAGGACGGAGCGTCCGGCGACACGAGGGGAGGAAATTGGTCACGAATACTACTACTCCATACTAACGGGAGGTTAATCTACGGAGTAAAGTTGGCGGGTAAACTATCAACAGTAATCAGATGCAGATCACGAGACCAGAATGGGGATGGCAGCCACCCGTCAAGCCACACATGGAGAGCTCCAGCCACAGTTTGCCTGTTTGCCTGGAAATGAGTGGAAAGTGGCACATCAACATGTCAAACAGTTCAGTTAAGTCAACAGTGCAAACAACTGACAGATGCTGGATGCCGCTGCAGCTCTACACATATCTCCGATCTTCAGCTACCAGACGCAGGTCAGTCAGTCATCATGCATCCGCTCTGGACCTCCTTCTTATCCTCTTTCTCCTTGCAGGTTGTCTCCCCCGCAAGACTTGTAGACTTTCCCCTCTAAGCGGGGCTCCTCCATATCGACGGAGTTCGCAAACTATTCCAAGCCCGATTTGCTTTTGCCGCCCTTTGCTTTTGCCAACCCATTGAATTGTTCACCGGCCACGCTTACTGGTCTGACGGTGCGTACATCATCTGTGAGGATCACAACCCAAGTCGATCGCTTGCAGTTTGGTTGTGGTTATATACTGACCGTCTCGCCCCTTTAGTTCCTCGCCCGTGCCACACGAAATAGACCACCCACCCCCTCGCGATACCCTCATACCCCCTCATGTCCTACAAAGCCCCCACGGTAACGGCGGTGTCCGCCCCTGGGAAGGTCCTTCTTGCCGGCGGCTACCTAGTCCTGGACCGCGATTACACCGGCACAGTGTTTGCCCTCGACGCTCGTATCCATGTCGTTGTTCAGCAACTGAGAAGGTCTCACCGCAGTGGTATGTTTGGATTCGAACACGAAACAAGGCGGGTGTGGAAGTAACTGAAGATGAGGCTGCAGATGAACAAGCTAGTGAGGACGTCATCGTCGTTCGGTCCCCGCAGTTTGTCGACGCGGTGTGGGAGTATGGCATCCAGCGTTGCGATAACGGAGGCGGGGTTAAAGTCGTACAGAAGGGCGACGGGTGAGGTGCATAGACTCGGATTTGTGGCAACCAGAGCTAACTTTGCAGCAGACGAGCAAACCCGTTTGTCGAAACTTCTCTCAATTACGCCTTGACGTACATCAGCTACGTGGCTGCCTCGAAAGACTTCGGTTCCCTTTCCATCACGATTCTTGCCGATAACGACTACTACTCGGAAACCGCCTTCTCCAAGATCTCGAGCCTTCAGTCTCCGGGACGTTTCGTGAACTTCGGCGTTCCCCTTCATGAAGCACACAAGACCGGACTGGGCTCGTCTGCAGCCCTAGTCACCGCTTTTGTATCCGCTCTGGTCATTCACCGCACCCTGCAGCCCGAGGACCTCGGTGCTGCTCGCGAGAAGCTGCATAATCTGGCGCAGGCCGCTCACTGTGCAGCACAAGGCAAAGTCGGATCTGGCTTTGACGTGGCGGCAGCGATATACGGTTCCTGTCTGTACCGGCGGTTCTCGCCGTCCATTCTGGAGTCAGTCGGGGATGCAGGCTCACCAGGTTTCGAGGAACGCCTGTTTTCAATCGTCGAAGACGCCGACCCCAACCATACATGGGATACGGAGTGCTTGGATTTCGGCATGAAGCTCCCTCGGGGAATGCAGATGGTTCTGTGTGACGTCGAGTGCGGCTCTCAGACCCCATCTATGGTCCGGAAGGTCTTGGAATGGCGCAAGCAGAACCCAGAAGAGTCCCTGATGCTATGGCAGGCACTCCAGTCCAACAATGAGCGACTGTGCTTGGAGCTCAAGCAGCTAGCCCAGAGCCCAGATGTGGAAGCCCCGAACAGCTTCGACGATACTCGTCGCCTTATCGAACGCTCTCGGGACCTCATCCGCACCATGACCCAGAAAGCCGGGGTCCCCATCGAGCCCAAGGTGCAAACTGAACTGCTCGATGCCATTACCAGCATCGAGGGTGTTGTCGGCGGGGTCGTCCCCGGCGCCGGTGGGTACGACGCCCTGGCCGTGCTCATCGAGGACAAGGCAGAGGTCATCCAGCGATTGAACGAGCTCTTTGAGACATGGGAGAGCAAGTTGGAAGATGACTTTGGGGGCAAGATCGGTAATGTTCGCCTTCTCGGGGTACGCCATGGTTCTGCCGGTGTGCAGAATGAGTCGTTGGATCAGTATGCAGGCTGGTTCTAGCCCTCTGCTGGTCTGAGGTATACTATATTACCACAAATGCATCTGTAGCATGACCATGACCCTGCATGTCTTATGCATAAGCGAGGATATTACTATCACATGCCTTAATAATAGAGACGATCATTCCTTCTATACACTCATTAATCAACACACACATATTACCATGAGCGATTTTCTAGACCTTCATTTTATCATCATATCGTCCCTTTCTATCCATCTACCTACCACCCATTTCTACCAACCTCCCAGATCCACAAACCCAGGCGCATACAAAAAGCTCGCCAAACCCCACCCCTCAAGATCATCCTACACAGAACCAACAATTAGCCTCATTTCAAAAACAACAACTCAAAATCAGATTAGACTCACCATTCCAATCCCAATCCCCAACCCCATCCCATCCGACCCCCCAACAGCACCACCAGCACTATCCGGCGTGACCATCATCCCCATTCCCAACGAACCAACATCTCCATCTCCATCTCTACCCTCCCTCTCCATCCCTTTCAACATCCCCACCCCTTCCCGCAAACACCCCCTCACAGCCTCATACACCACACCCTGCACATCCCCCCCACCACCACCATCCTCTAAAGCCCTAATCTGCGCCACCAGCGCCTCAGAAATAATATACCGTTTCAGCGCCGGCGACTTACCATGCATCCTGAGGACGTGTGCGCTCTGCAGGGCAAGATTCTCGAGCGTTTGGAGGATGGGGGCTCGTATTGTAGATGATAGGAGGGTTAGAGGATTAGGTGCTGTAGTAGTATTTGGGACTGCTGGGGCCTCCTCTATCTGGGTGATGAGTTCTAGGGCCAGCGTGCAGATTATGTCGAGGTTTAGGGGGCCGCGGAGGGGCCCGCGGGCTGTGAGGGTTAGGAGGGGGAAGTCGTCGAGGGGTATTGGGATTGAAGTGGAGGAGGATGGGGCGAAAGAGGCAATTGTGAGGGCGGATTCGAGGCATAGTTTGCGGGAATAGTGGTATTGTGGGGTGGTTGAGGCGGCGTGGGCGAAGGGGAGGTGCAGGTGGAGGATGTAGCGGTTTAGAGTTGTGAGCAGGTGGGATTTGTGGAATGGGGATGTGGTGATGGTGGTGGTGTTGGATTGGAAGAAGGTGGTGATGGTGTGGCAGGTTGTTCGTAGTTTGGTGGCGAGGTAGAGGGCCTTTTGATAAGGGATTCTGTCGGGGCTGTGGATGAGGTGGATGGTTTCGGCGCGTAGGGAGAACGAGGCGTTGAGGAGGAGTTGGAGGGATGTGTCTGTGTGGGTGGTGCTGGGGTGGGGGTTGGGGAGTGGCTTGATGTCTGGGTTGATGTCGGTGTCGTTGAAGTTGGATGGGGGCTTGGTGTCGAAGTATGGGATCGTGATAGGGGAGGCGGAGTCGAGCGAGGACTGAAGGGTCAGTTCGAGAACGGTGGCCCAGAGACGAGCTCGCATTTCGGATTGGAATGGTGGGAGAAATGGGAAGTAGGCCGAGTCTCGGTGCAGGCCCATGGCTGTGGCTGTCTGTAGGAGGTAGCCGGCTGAGAGGTATAGAGATGGGCCTGGGGATCCCATTTGGCGGGCGAGTAGGAGTAGGCAGAAGATCTGGAGTCCGTCCAGGTTGAATGTGTTCTTTTCGGCTGGTCCTGTGAGCCACCACTGGGCGGCGTAGATCCAGGTCTGGATGAGTCGGGTATCGTATTCTTTGCCGGCTTTGCCTCGCTGTGGGTGGAAGGTCGTGCCTATAGCGAGGATCAATGCCAGCTTCATGAGGAATGGAGTAGGAGCTGCTAGAGGTTGGTCCCAGAACTGCTGATATTCCTTATTGAAGGATGGTATGTGCACGATGCGATAGACGCGTTCGAACGTCCGCAGGTAGCATTGCACCAGCTCATCGCATACGGATCTGGTTGGGATGGTAGAGAGCAAGTCTGGCACAGGGTCATTCAGCCGGGGACTCTGTGCTGCCTTGACTGATCCGCGGAGAAGACGGAGCTCTTTGGTCCGAGCAGTCAGCTCTGCCTTGAGCTCGGGGCATAATGGCTGGGGCCCCCTGGTTTCCAGTGAGCCTACGAGTTGGAGCTACGGATAATTAGTCTTCATCCAAGTCTAAATAGAGGCAGGGCTAGCACCTTATCCATCGTGTGCATGTAATGAGTCGGACCGAACAGCTTCATCTTCCTCGAACTGGTGTGCAGTCGAGGAGGCGTTGCAGCAATGGATAGTTCTCCCTTCGGTGCTTGAGGTGAATCCGTGCATGATAGTAGCCGCTGTTCTAGTCTCTGGACCTTGTCGCACAGCTCTCGAAGTGCCTGCTGGATATCAGGTTCCGGGGCCGATGGCCGTACTATGTCCGTGTCGGTTAGTCGTTCCTCCAGGCGCTGTAGACGGAGCTGGAGATCACGGATCGTTGATCCAAGCTGCGACGAAATGCATTCTTTGCTACCACATCTAGGTTCGATGTGCAGTGTCTCGCCCAGGGACCCCGTTGAGCCCTCTGGCATCCCAGATGGCAGCGGGTAGCTCCGTGCATTGCGCTGCGGCTCACGCGAGATAATGGGAGACGCTTGGTGATCAGTCGGTGTCGAAAAACGACTATCCCGGCGATAAGAGCAGCCCAGAGATGAGCGAGCTCGTGTGCAAGGTCCACAGGGCACATTACGGTCACAGCGGACCTTGCGTTGGCGGCATTGCTCACACGATTTGGCGGGCCGGCGACGTTTGCGAGGTTCGGTATCGGCCATCGGTGCCGTATGCAGCCTGGATGTATTAGCTAGACATATTATGAGTAACCGGTTCAAAGTACCAAAACCATCCACACGGAATGCCAATTGCCTGAACCAGCTTGTTCACAGGAGTTGAGCTGGTAATAGTTGTGGTCGTGATGATGATTATGGTGAGGCTGAAGTCAAAAGCCGAGAACTCGGTCTTCCCGGCGCGAAAACCGAGGCCGAGTCCGAGAAGGATCCTCGAACCCCGAACTTCATGAAGTATAAATCACTCCATCATGAGGATGTTGACTGGCTCACTATCATCAATAAGCCTATTGACAGGATATATCACATTGAATATGCGTTCACCGACTCCTTATTTTAACCAGAACTACGCTCGCCATCTCCATGCTCGGGGCTATAGTGGTCGAGGCTTCGGGCGGTTCGCCAAGGTTGCCGTTGTCGGAACGTGTGTCTACTTGGTCTCCAAGAAATTGATCCAGTATGTTTCCTTATGCACACTATTGGCCTGTAGGGCTAAATAGACCATGCATGCAGTCAACGGAATATTCGTCCTCAGAATCCACAATCAAATGTGGCTTGAACGATTGGTTATTGGAG